CTCCAGCGGCATCCGGCTTTGTCCTTTTCACCAGCCCCGACATCCTCTGACGCTTTAGGAGCACCAGCATGGCGTAGGCCTCGTCTCGTCCAGCTAAATACCAGAGAAACGACAAAACGGCCTCCTCCGCCTGTAGGAGCGGTTAGCGGTTAGCGGTTAGCGGTTAGCGGTTAGTGGTTAATCAGTTGTGGGTACGTACAAATACGTACAAACCATTCACGGCGGTATTTGCAGCGGTGGCTTTCTAGACAGTCATAAAACAAGGACCGCGTATCTGTCTGTGTTCGCAACGACGACGAGTTGAAAGTTGAGAGGTCGGCTCCACGACGTAACGGCTACACCGGTCCCAAACCCTAAGGGTCCCCACATTACACGGTCCATTGCCCCCCCTTTTCCCCCTCCCCCGTACAAGCCATTCCCTCTGACCCCCACCACAACCCTAAAACCCTAACCACCACAATAACGAACTAACGAAATAACTACTACAACAACAACCTCCCACAGGGCCGCTGCTAGCCCATCACCATGGTCATTCCGCAAACCGCAAACTGCAAACTGCAAACTGCAAACTGCACATCCATATACCCACACGCTCACCTCAGGCGATCGGCTAAGCTTGCCCAGCAGCAACCTCGTTGCCCATTTGCCGATCACCACTACCGCGTCTTCCGACCCCGGACCGCTCCCCCGCGCCACCACACGTAACATCGCAGCAAACACAAGCAGTAACTCGCTGTCGCGAGGTTCCAAAGGCTCCAAGATCTCGTACGCCTGGCGGGCGTACTCCAGGGAGGGCGAGCTGGCGGCGGCGGCAGGTACTGCCGTAATACCGTTCTCGGCCCCGCGGCCGTTGTTGCCGTCTGCTGACAAACTGGGCCTTCCCGAGGACGGCGGCGCGGGCATGTGACCGTTGAACAAGCCCTGAGCGGGTGGTTAGGTTGGTTGTCAAGGTGGTTAGGGTGGGGATATCGTAGCATGCCGGCCAGGGGCAGCAGGAGAAATCACGGCAGTCATCAAGACATGACGTCGAGTTTCCATACAGGCTCTCTCTCATATCATAGCATACAAAGGGGGGACAGGGGTACAGGCAGTTTTTTTGCGGATCGATGCAGTTCGAAGGCCGCGAGGGGAAAGCAGCGGGCCCCCTCACGCCTTCCTCGCCTGTTCTTCTTCTTCTTCTTCTTCTTCTTCTTCTTCTTCTTCTTCTTCTTCTTCTTCTTCTTCTTCTTCACGGAAAAAAAGAAGAGTCCACTTCCACCCAAACGAAACTTTTCGCAAAAAACTCCGCAAACAAAGCTCCGACTGGCTTTTTTTGTCAACAACTCACCAAGTAACTTCTTGATATGACTGAGAGGCAAGAAGGGGTCAATGTGGGCTCCGCACCGCCCCCGGCGGACTGTCCGGCTGTTGAGGAGGGGGTGTGGGAGGGGGAGGAGCTGCTAAAGTTGGCGAAAAAGCCTTCCAGCAGCATCAGCACCACCAGCAGCGACGCACGTTCCACCCCGTCGTACTGTCCGGCATTTATTTCCTGTCGTAGCTGCGACGCTGCTGCCAGTACGGCACGTGACTCAACCTGAGTGGGTCCACGGGCGGCGGCAGTGATAGTTTTAATTATAGGGCGCTGTTGTGGGCCCCCTGGTTCCGGCTGCGGCACGAGAGGGACAGCTACTGTGGTGAAGATGGAGGAGGAGGTGTAGGAGGAGGGCGAGGAATTACACGCAACGTAATACCGATAACACTGGTAAAAATGTCTTGATATATAATATAGTTAGTTTCCAGTGCCCGGTTCCCTCTCCTACACACTACATACATACATACATACATACATACATACATACATACATACATACATACATACATACATACATACATACATACATACATACATACATACATACATACATACATACATACATACATACATACATACATACATACATACATACATACATACATACATACATACATACATACATACATACATCACACAGCACACACAAACACAAACCTCGCAGAACTACCCCGCAACCTTTCCCGTCATCCGTACCGTGCCGTACCTGCATCCCAACCGCCGCCGCATAGGCCTTATGTGCCATCAACGGAACCAGCGCGTCCGAGTCCACGTGGTTGTGCCCGTGATGGTTTATCAAGTACGACAGGAGGTGCGCAAAGGTCGGCGGCAGCGGCGAGGCTTTTGGAGAGCCCTCATCGACGCCACCGCCTCCGCCGCCTGTTCGCGATTTCGACTTCTGCAACGCGTCCCCCTTCCTTCCCCCCTCCTCCGAAATGGCGGGTAGGGAGTTCTGCTGACTGCGACACGAGACGGAATGGCGGCTGAGTGTGTGCGGCTGAAAGGCCTGCGCGGCGGCTATGATGGCGAATACAGTTTCCTTGACCACCTGCAGGCCGGGGGGTTCGACAATGCGCCGGGGGGCACCAAAGGGGGATGAGGAACGGGGTGTGAAGGGGGGGAAGGGCTGCGGGGGAGCGGGGGAAAGGTCTCCGGTCTCGGAGCGTGCGAGCGAAACACGTCGGGGGGGGGGGAGGTTTTAAGAGGACGCCCCACGCCCCACGCCGTGCTGCCCAGTTCTGGCAATCCAACCTGACCCCCCGACAGGGGCACAGCCTCCGAATAGTGCCGCGCACGTCCGCACGTCCACACACACACACACGGGGGTGCGCCGGTGATGAAAACGGCTGTCTCGCTGTCCTGGGGCCTGTGTTGATATTATATACATTATATTATATCGGCCAGAACAATTCTGGGAATTCCATTTTCCATTTACCCAGCCCCCTTTTGCCTTTCACCTTTTAGAGGATGTAAATTGAGGGGTTGGGGCCGAGGAGGAGGAGGAAATGCGTGTCAGGTGCTGTTGGCCGGTATCTTTTAAATACTCCTCCCCTTTCGCCTCCCTCCCCCCTGGCTACCCTCCCCCCCTGTGGTTTCCGGAGGCTTGATCGCCCGGCGTTGCCGCAGGGTCTTCCCGTTTGAGTCCTTTTCAAGTTAGACCCAGTGCTGTGGAAGGGCGCGGACTTGTGCGGTGTTATCCCCCCGACGGCTGCTATCTCCCCTGGACTAGCCCAGGGAGGGAGAGGCTGAGGAGGGTAGTAGACTCAGGAGGCTGTTTGGCGTCTTGTGGTGTGAGCTCTTTGCGCTCTTTTTTGCGTGCGGATTTTTGAGCTTGGTGACCTCCCCAGCCCGGGATGACTCGTCGGGCTCCCGGTCGCCATGTCCTGGTTGCGAGCTCTCTGAGATGCTCGGTTCGTTCGGTCGGCAGGAAGAGCCCCCCAGTTGCGACTTCGTTTATGTTAGGAGACCAGCGGGCATAGATCCCGTCTAGTTGGAGCGCCAAACAAGCGCTGTTGCGTGCCGGCCGTCGTTTCCCGTGCGGCCTGACCCGGGGGCGGAGTGCATGAGACTAACCAGCCGTATGCACCCGCCCCCCCCGCTGTGCTTCGGCCCTGGGCCCCCGGCTTTTCAGCCCACAGCGTAATCAACGTCATACATACATACATACCCACATACATACATACATACATACATACCGACACATGCACGCACCTTGTGTAGTCGCAGATACGCCCGTCGCTCCGGTCCGTGAAGTGCCCTAGCTTGGCGACTGAGTGCCTCCGTGTACGAGCGGGGCGGGCGGGGCCGGAAGGCGGCTGCGTGTCGGGGCTCTATCTGGAAGGCGCCGTTCCAGGGCAGTTGCTGACTGAGCCCCAGGTCATCCTCAGTGAGAGCGCCGTCAGCCGCCTCGCCGCCATCCCCCCCAGCCTGGGGGTGAAGAGAGAGAGTGTGTGTGTGGGGGGGGGGTTGCGGGTGCGGGTGCGTTGGGGGGGGGTGCGGGTACGGGTGCGAGGTTGGGGGTTGGAAGTGGACCGGGGGGGGGAGATGTGGAAGCAGGTGAAGTGAGCAGACAGATAGACAGACAGACAGACAGTCAGGCAGACAGACAGACACACCTGCAGTGGCACGGTGACTGTTAGTCCCGACGCATACACCCCCACCACGGCGGCGGCCGTTTCACGGCTCTCCATAAGGCCCTCCTGCGGCAGCGCTCCCAGTAGGGGAGCAGAACGAGTCGCCAATGTATCGCCGCCGCCGCCGCCGCCGCCGCCAGCGGCGGCGGCGGCAAAGTCAGCGACACTTGCGCTATGAGGCGGCTGCTGCTTCTGCTGCTGCTGTTGCTGTTGGCCTTGCTTTAGCCTTGACAGGGGTGACTGGGTTTGTTGGGTTTGGGAGTGCTGTTTGGGTTTGGGTAGCGGATAAACGCACCGAAGGTGTTGAAGGTACTTTGCAAAGATCGTGACAAAAGCGACTTGTCGACTGGTCTGTACGGCGCCGGGACGGTTCTTCCGTACAGCTGCAATGGCCGCCTCGGGAGTGTCGTACATGCCCGCAAAGACGAAGAAGCAGGCGATGGCGAGGCCGGTACGGCCCAAACCCGCGTGGCAATGTACGGCAATCTTACGGCCTTCCACTCGGGTTACGTAATCCATCACCTTGTCACGGGGGTGGGGTAGGGGGTTAGGGGGAAATTGAGGGGGAGGCAGGGGAAGGTAAAGAGGTTTCCTCCTTTTAAATTTTTTTGGAGAACAATAAAAAAGCCGAAACATACAAACATACATCCACACACATAGAAACACATAGAAGAGACACGGGTACACAGTACTCCCGCCGTACTGAGTCTAAATCCCTACTCAGTTTGTGTGTATTGCCGTAGCTAGAGGCAGTGGCCTTCATCTTGAGCTCCCCCTCCCCCCCGTTGCCCCAGCTCCCTTTTACCCCCCCCCCCCCAAGCCCAACCCGCAGCTCCCCTGCAACTCCTCTTCCTCTTTTTTTCCCGTCCTCCCCACACACGTCCCGCACCTGTACGATGTCCATCATTCTGTCCAGGGAGGGCACACCCATGTCCCGCCAAGCAAAGTTGTAGTACCCCACTCCCCCGGCCATGAAGGTCTCCGGGTCGTACGTGAAGCCCGTGTGGGCCAGGTTACCGGGGCCGCAGCTGGCGTGCTCGCCGACTTCCTGTGGAATTAAATTATCATGACCATCAACATTCAACAGCTTAACCAACGCGCTTACATTATTTTACTTTTACATTTTCATTAATTAAATAAAAAAAGTGCTAAGTTTTAAAATAATAAGTTGCATTTATCTCAATTATTTCATTGAGAAATTATTATTTAAAACTTTACAAAACTTTAAAGTTTTAAAATAATAATTTGCATTTATGTTATTCCCTTAAAATGTCCCGTCCTCTTCGTTCAGACGCCGCGACGCCCCCCCTAGCACCGGACACGCAGGCAGGTCCGGCTCATCAACCACACAAACCCATCTCCCTCATTTCCCCTCACACATACAACCTTCCTAACAATTTAAATATGAGGATATGTTTCCATCATCATCATCATCATCATCATCATCATCATCATCATCATCATCATCATCATCATCATCATCATCATCATCATCATCATCATCATCATTTCCTATGTCACTTCCTCCCCGGCCCTATTTCATATATGCACATCTATTTCGCACCTGCAGGTTCAATATCATGCCAATGTTGGCCTGTTGAAACGCCTCGACGAGCTTGTACGACACCACGTGGGACTGCCAAGGGCGTGCCATGGCCAAAACCGTGTCCCCAACCCAGCTGCAGTGAAGTCCCGGAAGGGCGTTGGGCGTCTTCTGGCGAGCGGGGTTTTCCCGGGTACACCACTTGCTGCCTGAGCCGGGGTGGGGGCGCCGACGTGACGCAAGTGCATGTATGTATGTATGTATGTATGTATGTATGTATGTATGTATGTGGAGGGGAGGCGGGGAGGCCTTTTTTCCTAATCTCAACAAGAAAATATCAGATAGAGAAGGGGAAGGAGGACGGCTGGTCGCTTTCGCGGCTTGGGTCTCAGAGCTATAACGAGGAGGGTGTGGAGAGGGGATGGGGCCGTTGGGTTGGGGCAGGGGTTAGGGGGTGGGTTGGGGTGGGGTGGGTAGGGGGCCCTGAACCTGACGGTGGCGGTGGTGCTGGCGGTGGCGGCATCCGCCCACACATCCACCCACCTTCACAGGCGCACTGAACCTTCTCCTTGAAGATAAACGTCCAGGGCCCCCGTAACGTGGTGTCCTTTACGGTAAAGGGGCCCGGGGGGGGAGGTGCGGGGGATAAGGGGGGTTTGCAGGTTCGGTTCCATACACAGCGGCAACGGCACGCGGCAGCTAGAGGGAGCTGGCCACTGGAGGTGTGGTGGCGCTGGTTGATGATGGAGATAGTGAATGAGGGGAACTCCTACTAGGGATTGTAAGCACACGGGCTGTTGATTTTGTACGACGGTTTCGCGCTTAGTGCCAGAGGCGCGAAGAGGAGTGCTCCTTCCCCCATGGGGGAAACGTGTGGGGTTTCAAAGTTTCGCAAGCAGGAGGCGTGGAGAGTCGGGAAGGCTATGTGTTGGAAGCTGGCGGGCGCAGCTCGGTGAACGCCGCGGCTGTTTGGGCTACCTGGTCCCATTTGTATCTTGGAGGCGCTTTCGAAGAAGCACCGGCTCCCATGACGTCCGGATTTTATTGACCGCAGGCCGCAGATGTGTGGGAGCGCGCTGAACCTGTCGCAGACCGCGTGCTCTGGAGGCGACGTGCAAGGTATTGGCACGAGTTTATTACTTGGTTACACGTGATCATGTAGGAATGATGAACGCTGTGGATGAGTGGACTTATGGAAAGGAACGATTGTAGCTTCCATGTCCTATAAGTTCCCAAGGGCGAGGCGATAGCAATATGAATATGCAGGGATGATGAGGGCGAAAAGTTTTGATCCGTGCGTTTTCCTTACGAAGGGCGAGAAGCAAGAACTGTTGAGAAAAACGCTCCGCCGTACAAACACCAGTAAGCACCATTTTCGTGCCTTACAGCATGGTACTCCAGGTCAATTTTATACCCGATCGACAGGGTAGAACGTTTGCCAGGTAATGGGTGCTGCCATAGCTGAAGAAAGAGGCGTAAAGCCGAATAGTCAACAAACCCAGCAAGAGTCCTTGTAATGTTAGGGAGGTTATTTGGTACGAGGTTTTGAAGCTAGGTAAAAAAATGGAATGTTCCTCGTAGTCATGTCTTCTCGTGCACGTGTCGCCGTTCACCTTGTTGCCGACTTAAGCGCGAACACGTTTCGGCCTTGAATATGCCCGTTATAGGTCACATCCGGGCAACTTCATAAATGCTCTTTGTTTGCACAACTGCCGTTGGCTACGACCTCATTCGGCCTTCGCACAGTTGGGCCCCACTTCTTCCAATTTGACGTTGCATTGGGCACGTATGCCGTCATTTCAGTAATACAATACATTAGATATAACCTTAGTATTATTCCTCAATTCGTTTTCTAATTAGGCATTCCTTATCTAACGTTTGTAGCGACCGCTGTCAAGGCGACGGTCCACTGCATTGCGGTCAGAGGAGTTGTGAACAGTGAAGCCGTCCTTAGATTGAGTAGCCATTAGCCATGTTGCTCTCCTGTAGTCCACTCTTAAGCATGGCCGCGCCGGTCACACAGCTGTCTCGCTTGGCGGCCCAGAGTTTGTGGATCAATTTTACGGCGCTTGAGCGACCTATGGAGTCCGTGAGCTCTGCACAGCCGGCTGCCGGCCCCGGGCCTTCTTCGCAGCGGCTGGGAAGGCTGGCCTCGTTGAACCTGGCTTCCAACTGCGAGCAGCGGCGCTTCTGTCGATGGCTCGGGGAGACACGTTGCCAAACAGTCACCGCTGTTGACCTTGGAACTCCTCAGACAAATACGGCCGTTGCCTTAATGGAGAGCAAGGTTCACAGCGATGCGGACGTGAGGATGGATGCCCAGGTTACCTTTGAAGCCTGTTGGCGTCGCTTTGAAGAGAAATTTCGCTTGAAGGTGCGAGCAAGCCTCACGGCAGCTCTTTCCATTCGCTGCGCGAGTTGCTACGGTTTCGAGTCCACGGCCGGGGAGACTTTACACGCTTCTGATTTATCCCGTTACAGTCGGTTAACGTTCCACGCGAAGTGGTCTGGCTGAACGGAGCGCCAGGAGCTGGCAAGGTAGAGTGCCGGTTCCAAGGCCATGTCTCGGCATTTCGAGCCGTTCCATCCTCTCTTCTTTTAACGAACCAAAATTTTCTCCTACAGGGCGCTAACACACAGCATATCTTGAAAACACGCGGCCTGGACCACAGTGTAAACCTCTCGTCCTTGCTGGTGAGCAATTTCACAATCTGCGAGGCCGCGGGTGTTTGAGAACGGCCAGGAGGCCGCCTTATGCTCAAGCCCCTCCCTTGTGCCCGCCGCAGCAAACGAATGAAAGCACACGCGCATTAATGGAGCGCGGAGAACTTATCCCCGACAGCATGGTCGGGGACGTTGTGTTGGAGGCGTTGCTTGTCCAGAGCTGTCAATTGCCGGAGTGTGGTGTGCTGGTGGACGGCTTCCCCCGAACCGCCATGCAGGTAGGTAGCACGCCAGCAACCCAATTCACAGATGGATGGATGGCCTTGAAAACGCTTCCGTGATACATCTCCCCCTGTAAAAAAACCGAAAGCGAGAAAGGAGGGCCGCTATGGCGACGCCCCGGGACTGGACCCTACTCTTCGCTAGCATGGAGCCAGGGCGGGGTGGGGAAACAGGCGATATGGGTCACTGGCGGGCAGCTGCGGACGTGCGGTATATTGCAATTTTGGGCAGCATGAAAAGAAAGCGATAACGGTAGGTTTCGGAGCTTCCTCGTTCTCGTGAGATTACGAGGACCAGTACGAGACCCATTTCCGTTTTGCTGCTACATGGCTAGTAGTGCTAGGAGCCTTTAATAACACAGCTGTCCCCCTAATCATCATCATCAAGACTTCGAGCATCGCATGTGTGCTTTTGCTGCTGTTGCTACGCTACTGCCTCCGGTGCTGATGCGGTTGCTAATACTGCTCTCGCTCGGTTTTGTTGTGGCCGCGGCCGCGCCGCCCCCAGGTGGATTTTTTGAAGCTGTTGTACGACAAGCTGGACGAGCTGCATGGCATTTTTGCCAACACGACGCACCGCAGCCAGTTTCCTCGGCCGCTGTTCAAGGTGGTGATGCTTTACGTTGACGAGGACACGTCCATCATGCGTCAGTTGGAACGCGCCAAGCTGGCGTCCGTACACAACAAGCGCGTTTTGGATGCCGGAGCAGGCCAACTGTGGTGCGTCTCTGTCTGTCTGTCTGTCTGTCCGTATGCCTGTCTGTACCTGCGTTGCGTTGCGTTGCGTTGGGCCAGGTCAGGTCAGGTCCTTGGTTGGAGTGCTTATATGGTTGTTGAGCTTTCAGCTGTCTAGGGAAGCGCTGATGGGAATCGCTGCGAAACCGCTGATGGAGATCGCTGCGCTCTGTGTCAAAAAGCAGAAGCTGATCAACTTTATCAAGCTTGTAACTCTTTCCAAGAAAAACTTATTGTTTGGATTTTACTAGGTACTGGGCTTAGGGTATCTTTATTACTCTTACCTCGCAAAGCATTCTCTGGCAACAAAAATCTGTCTTTAGGAAATTTATGAATCTTTATAACTTGTTGTGTCCGTGGCGCGCAGGGAGCAGCGCGCCACGGATCTCAGCATTGAGAAGGCCAAGAAGCGCTACGCCATCTTCCGCCAGCACCACAGTGCCGTGTTGCGGTTGAAGCAGTTCTTCCCCTTCCACTTGATTGACGCCATGGGGACGTTGGCGGAGACCCAGGAGGCCATCACTACGGAGCTCAGGTCGGGGTGGGGGTGAGGGTGGGGTGGGGGTAGTGGTAGTTGGGGGGGGGTGGAGGTGGTGGGTGGAGGGATTGATCCGGTGTAGGGCGGTGATTGATTGATGCCCTGCCCTGCAAAGTCAGGGAAGTGGCTGCCGG